CCCGAAGGCGTTCCTCTCGGAAAGGCCCTAAAAAGCCCCAAAGCCCCATTTGCCCCCCATTTGCCCCTTGGCCCCGTAGAGGAGTTCTGGAGGTAAATACCTACTTTGTACGGATTAGGCTTGCGATTATCCTATAAAGCAACTGATAAGTCTGAATATAGAATACATCCAGCTAGACTTACTCACCCATCCGATCGGATTTATTTTTAGAATTTTCTGTTTTCGTTTTGGTCCGTAATTCCCTCTTTGCGTAATAAGCACATTGTCCTTTCTGGTACCCCTTGTCCAGGCCCACGTCCGTCTGTCAAATGATGTGCACTGGGGGCTTCCTGTCTCGGTCTGATGATGCCTCGTTCCAAGGCTGGCCGATCCAACTTCTCTTGTGGAAAAGATTGATGCATCCCTGCCACTGCTAAACCTGGTTCCGCCGCTGCGCATCGTGCGGATTCCTTTGATTCGCCTTGCCTTGCACATCATTGCCCAGTCTGCCGACTGGAAACGCGCTGTTGGACCTTGAACCCCGCTGTGGATTTTGGATCAGGGCCCTTTTTGTTGCGGGAAAATGGGACGGGACTTGGACATGATGGCCGCTGCTTGCTGTTTCGCCTGCATACATGCGTGGCTTGATGGACCTACGGCGGTGCTGAGGCTGCCAATGCCAACAGCAAAAAGCAGTGGGCTGGCTCTAGCAATGTCAAGGTGATGGATGGGCTGCACGTCTTTCGTTTGTGTGTGGGTGTTGGTGTAGGTGCTAGCTACAAAACAACCACCTCTGCCTCTAGACGAATCAGCCACTGACATCTCTCCAGCTCGTCATCCCCTCGACTCTTTGTCGTCCATCATTTTCTGCCCGTCCGTCACCTTGCTCATTCGAACCTAAAAAAAGTGCCACCTATTCGGCGCGCTGGCTAGTCTGTCAAAGACCCTCACCTCCTCTCGATGCCACAAAAGGATCTGCAGTCGCCCAACGCATCTTGAACCGATACATCATTTCCACTGCCCATCTACACGTTTCAATTACTCGACCGCTTCTTCTTCACCTTGTTGCTTTCCATCTTTCACCTCATCTGCCCCGCCTCTTTCAAAATCTTAGGGCCTTGGTTTTCTCCAAACGAGAAACGCCACAAACGACGTCTCGAAACGCCATCACCAGTTCAACTATCCGTACCGCGCACCGCCACCAGCCTGTTGATCCTCGCGGCATCACCGCCGTCTCCTCTTCCCCCCCCCTCCCTTGTCCGGCGAGCCCGTCTCGTTCGTCTGATCAAGCTCTTTCGAACAGCGCGAACCAAATTTTGGATCAACATAGCAAGGGTTCCCGTCCACTCTTGTCACCACTTCTCTCGTCCAGTCCGCCTTTCCCCCCAATGTGCGTCTGCCCCACAGACAAGACAGGTCCCCTGCCCGGCCACCATCTCTTGCACCACAACTACAGCCTCTGCCACTTCTCGCGCGCATCCGCTTCGACGGAAGACAGCATCGGGTCGCAGAGGGCTTGGCGGGAAGCATTCCCCGTCCTCCTTCTTCCTAGACATTTATTCGTCGCCGTTGAAAACAGTGGGCTGCAGAATCACATTCACACGCCGCGTATAACAGGGGAGCTGCGACATCTCGCGCAATTCGTCGAGTTATAATTCTTACCTTGACCACTCCACACAGTCTTTACTTCTACTATATTGCCAACACTCGGTCCATGGTCAATCTCTTTTTCCCCGCAAACCCTTGTTGGTCACCAATTCCTCATCTACACCTCTCGCTTTCCCACCCCTCGTCTCTCGCCTGTCGCGTGTAATGCCAGCCTCGTCTCTCCACGCCAACCCGCCCTCGACGCACGACAACTCCAACACGGCCCTTGTCTCTCATTACGTCGCTTACGAAAATACCCCGAGATCCGCAAAGCGCGGCACAACCTTGTTTCTTGCCATTCAAAGCCTGCCTCTTTGCCAAGACAGCCGCCTACCACGTATTCTCGCTGCTCGTCTTCTCTCGCCTGCTCCACACCATCATGTCGCAGACTCCCGACCTTGAGCACAAGAGGAAGCGTTCTGCCATTGACAACAGCGGCCAGCAATGCTATCCCTCATCTCAGCAGAATCCACTGCAGCAGAGTAAGTTTCCTTTATACACTGTTCACTCCCCCATATCGTTTTCTTGGTTCATTTGAACCCTCTCAATTCCCTCTGCCCCTTCACCGCAATGGCGCAGACGCCCAAGACTTCAGCTTCCAGCCTCTGTCCCAAAAAGGTTCAATTTATGCGGCTCCGCACCCACGCTGGTGCCAGAAGCGTCGCTAGTGTATGCTCGTCTCAGGCGGTGCGACTTTGCCATACAGCCATCAGTCACAGTGATGGGGGAAAAGAGGAAATAGGCCCAACTTTGTCTCAAGAGACTATCCTTGACAGTTTGCCCGTACCACGACTGCCCGTCATGCTAACTAGCACAGGTCTTGGCAGTCACATCAACTTTATACCAAAACCCAATGCCGATCGTCTAGCGCTTATTCAAGCCGACAGTGATACTTTTGCCGATGTGCTGCATCTCATTGCTGGCTATGAAGGTATGAATCTTGCTCAGCAGCATTGCGAATCAGTGGCTCACACATTCAGGCGCGCTTGACCGACAAGAGAGCTTGGCCGCCAACCTCGGCGCAAAGCTCACAGGGCCTCGAATCTTAAAAGGCATTGAGCGCTTCTTTGACGGTCCAATAAAGACCAACGCGACGCAGCCGTTTATAAATCCCATCAGCTGGATTGATGTTGTTTTACACGCCAAGGCTCATCCCAATGAATTCGTCTTTGCCACTCTACCCAACGGTACCCGATGCTGCCAATTTCACTACAAAGGTCTACAGTGCGAAATTACCGAAGATGACTGGCGATTAATATCTTCCGGTGCTCTGGATCGCTTCCCGCTCGAACACCCGTTTGAAGAAGACGAGACGGCAGAGCTAGCCACCCTGGATATTCTCGAATCCAGGGCATCCATCTTGTACAAGAGAGCCGATGAAGTTGCGGCCAGAGCCCGCATACTACATCACCGCATAGGACAACGAAAGCATGAGCTCTCTAGGAGGCGCAACGTAGAAAATGGTCAGCGATATCCGTCTACCGGTGGAATTCCACCCGCGCGGCTTGCGGCGTCGGGCGCCCCCTACGATCTTCATGCCGACCTGCTGCAGCAGTTTCTCGCAGCGTCATCATCGATATCGGCACCACCTTCTCGTCCACAGTCTGTCGCGGGTCTCTCTCCAATTGGTATGCTGCCAATATCACCCTCTGTTGCATCGCCACACCCTACGCAACAGCGACTGTCGGTGACCTCGGGGCGTTCTGGCAGCAGCAGTCACCCGACGGAAGGCTCTGCCATGACGGAAATGGACCACCGGGCCGAGTTTCTGCGTTCACTTGTCACTCAAAAGACGGATAAACTGAAGCGCGGCGACATCATTAGCCCAGCGTGCGATCGCTGTCGCCGTCTGCGACTACACTGTGTCAAGCACCTAACTGCCTGTCAGGGATGCACCAAAAAGCATGCGAAGTGCACGTGGCGCACCATGACGGACGAGGAAGCCGCGCTACTTAAAGGCGAGATGGGCATTCGCGTCGAGCGCGATGCGCAGATTGCCTCGGAGGGCATCTCCTCGCCCGACGAACTGCCAGCGCCCCTTACAATGGACGGGGTGACGATGCGCCCCGCCAGCCGTACAGAGACTGATACCAGCGCTTCCATACAGTCCACGACGTACAGCCCAGGGCCGCTTTCTAGTGCGCGCTCCGATCTCAGCGCCGAGCACGGAAGGATGAGCTTGCCCCCGGTGTTGTCGGGCCTGGCCGGTCCACCCCCAATGCAGCGTGGGCGTGATCTGTCGCGCCTAAACCAAGTGGCGTCTGTACTGACTGATTCCAACTACATGCGGCCGCCGTTTCCTCACGCACATCAGCCTTTACCGTATCCTTCCACATCACAGTCTCCGCCACATTCTGCTACGCAGCCGCCTCCACCGCCACCCCAATGAATGGCAATCGGGGATATTGGGGTTCAAAAGCGATTCCCATGTATATGTTGTGTTTTAAACTTATATCCTAGCGAGAGTCATAAAGATAGAAGGAAAAGGTGGGAAATGAATAGTATTAATAAAGCTATAGTACTACTACGTTAAGAGACGCAGTTACCCGTACTTTATTATGCGGGAAACACGAACCAGTTACTTGGGATGAAAATCGTTGCTGTTTGCTATAAACGTTTGTCTCCCGTGCCTAAACCTAACGATCCGGCATTCGGTACTCGTAAAAGCAGTATTACGACAAAATTACGACTTGGACAGAACGTACCGGATGTGAGTATTGCGCTGATAGTATTGTCAATAATAACTGGCATGATAGAAAACTAATGTTGATTACAATTTCAGTAAATCTGATTTATTAGAAGCAGTCTGGAGGCTCATACTTTGGATGGATACTATTTGGGATTTTTGGCTGTTGTATGGAGTTTTGCAAGGTGCTTGTGAAGCTCGGCGGACCTCAGGCGGGTGAACTATATCACTTGTCTCCTCTGCTCCATACTTTGCACAAACCAAGCAGCCAACGGCCCTGCGAATTGCAGGAGAAATTCTGGCTCTTCAACCGACGACCAAACCAGCTTGCAATATCACTAGCTATAATACCGTCGTCCACATTATAAAGCGTAAATCTGGTGATTGGTTTTGTGGTATCGTTTGCGATGAGGTAGGGTCAAACAGTGCAAACGCCGCACAGAATTAATAAGGCTTAGTTGATTCCCATCATTGGCTGTAATGATGCTTAGTCTAACTATAATAAGTGTGAGCCCACTAATTCTGACTAACAATATCCACACCAAAATTGGACCCTTACAGCGCCTGCGCGCAAAAAAAAATGATGGGCACTACCTAAGCATCATCACCCCTTGCGAGGGCCGATATGCAGGGCCAGGTCTTTATTGATACTTCATCAGCTCAATTAACCCAAAGTCCCACTGAAGACTGACCGATGGAGGATTCGAACCTACGACTTTATCGGTGTTAACGATACGTGATAGCCACTACACTAATCAGCCATTTGTCTTCTTGGTTGATGTGTGGTGTTCCAACTTGACTTATAGGAGGAGCATCGCGAAAGTCGCCCAGGGTTCCTAAATATCAATTTCCGATGCGCCTAGGAGCCTCACGCTGCCCAACGTGTCGATTCTAAATGGCTGCCACGAGTAAAGAGCCTGAAGTAGCATTGTGCTGGTGGAAGCCTTCGGTGCTATTGGTGGTAGACAAAAGATTGTGATGTAAGGGCAGGGCGGATTTCGAGAGAAGATCTCATAGATGTTGAGTTCTTTCCGAAATTGTTCTCTGTCAATATCGCCAGATCTCGGGACTTTCACCACGATGTGAAGATGGACTCTTCAGACAAAGGAGATGCCCTCTTCCCAGACCTAGCGCACATCAGGGAACTGCCGCCGCATGTCCATAATAATTATCAAACGCATGGTTCAAGGAAGAGTCTGCAGAGGAACCTGTTGCAGAGCGTTTAGATAAGGTGAGCAGAGAAAAATAAAGGGTGCGTCAAAGAGGGGGCTGTCTAGTAGATTATATACTTGAGCATCTAACAATTTACTGGCGCCATTGCCGCCCTGCAGCCGCCTCTGAGGAGTCGTAGGAGGTTGCTTCAAAAAAATTGGGGCGGCTCTAGAAAATCATCTTCTCCTTGGCCTCGTCGATCCTGCTCACTCCTTGCAAGACAAGGCCTAAATTTAATTGCTCCTTTCCGATGGACACATTAAAAGTCAACTGTACACCTCGCTCCTAAAGACGATAGACCACGATTCGAATCCCTCCTACAATCGAGTCCATTCTGCGCAGCAAAACGGCATCCGCCACAACAACCACCCCCCTGGAACCGAAGAAGCCGACCAGATGGCGCATCCGCAGCACGTCTTTGGCCCTGGGCGCGACGACCGCCGGCAGACCTTGGAGCGTGCGCACGCATCGGCCGAGCATGCTGCGCTGGTGCAGTCCCGCGAGACGGGCGACGTTTTCCCCGAAGACACCCTGACGCCCAGGGGCCAGGTCAAGGCGCTGCCTTTTGCAAAGTCTTGGGTGCATTTCATGGCTGGAGGGTGCGTTGTCTTTTTTCCGATTCGCCGCCGACGATTTTTTACGTGCACGATTTGCTAATGCTTGGCTGCAGCATCGGAGGTATGACGGCCGCGACACTCACCGCCCCCCTCGACGTCTTGAAGACACGGCTCCAGTCGGACATTTACCAAGCCCAGCTACGCGCGGCGCAGGCCATGCAGACCAAGGCAGCGGTGACGCGCGGCCCCGTCGCCGCCGCATTCTACCACCTCGGCGACACGCTGCAGATCCTGCGCGGGGTGCAGAGTACCGAGGGCACCAAGGCGCTGTTCAAGGGGCTGGGGCCGAACCTGATTGGTGTGGTGCCGGCGCGGGCTATCAACTTTTACGTGTACGGCAACGGCAAGCGCATCCTCGCGGAGCGCTGGAATGACGGCGAGGAGGCGCCGTGGGTGCACATGCTGGCGGCGGGCGCGGCGGGCATCGCGACGTCTACGGCCACCAACCCGATCTGGATGATCAAGACGCGGATGCAGCTCGACAAGAATGTTGCGCAGCGAGCGAGCGACGCTGGCGGCGCGCAAGTGCGCAGACGATACCGAAACAGTTACGACTGCGTGAGGCAGATTATCCGGGAAGAGGGCGTGCGCGGACTGTACAAGGGCATGAGCGCGAGCTACCTGGGCGTGGCCGAGTCGACGCTGCAGTGGGTGCTGTACGAGCAGTTCAAGGCGTACCTGGCGCGCAGGGAGCAGCTTCTGGCGCGCAGCGGCCGCGAGCGGACGGCGTGGGACCGCTCCGTCGAGTGGACGGGCAACTTTGGCGCCGCGGGCGTTGCCAAGTTCATCGCGGCGATCCTGGCATACCCGCACGAGGTGGCGCGCACGCGCCTGCGGCAGGCGCCCGTCGCCGACGGACGTCCCAAGTACACGGGGCTCGTCCAGTGCTTCAAGCTCGTCTGGAAGGAGGAGGGCCTGATGGGACTCTACGGCGGACTGACGCCGCATCTGCTGCGCACGGTTCCCAGCGCCGCGATAATGTTTGCCATGTACGAGGGCATCTTGCGCCTCTGCAACACGCCGGCCTGAGGTCGGGCACGGTGAGGGAACACACACACACACACACACACACACACACGCCACTACTGCTGTAACAACATTCTGTACACTTTTTGGAACAAGGAACAACTGAATAGAGCCCGGCGACAGGGGCCGCCATAAAAAAAGGGGACTTTTCTAAAAAAAAAAAAAACCAACATCGGAGCTCAGGGAAGCACATGGTAGACGTTGAAGAGTTCATTTCAACAGGCGTTAGAGGGCTACAGGAAAAAGGAAACATGGGTATAATTATATAAAGTACAAACGTTCACTCAATTGGATATACGGTTCTCAACGAGCAGCTTTGTCTGCACAAAAACATGAATTACGTACGTTGCACCTCCTCACCACCTCCTCACCACCTCCTCACCACCTGCATTTACACTGCCACTGCCCAGCATGGTTCGGTGGGTCCCCTAGGCGCCCGACATCATCATCGCCGCCGCTGGCAGACCTTTATCCCTCAAGCTCAACCTTTTTTCTAAACTCACATTACGGTGCCTATATGTGGCATTCTCATACAGGTTTGCAAGTAAGTAGCTTCTACGCAGTAGTAACGGAGCTTCATCTAACATTGTCGCTCCAGCTACTCACACTCTCTGCAAACGGCTTGACGTTCCCCCCGCCAAGATGCCCTGGAGAGACCGCTTCAATCAGATCAAAAATGAGTTCAACGACATGATTGGTGGCGGATCGCAGCAACAGCAGCCGCCACAGCAGCAGCAGTACTACCATCAGGGCGGCGCAGCGCCGCCGCCGCCGCCGGTGCCGCCTCATCCGCAAGACGGCGCGGGAGGCGCACCGCCGCCGATTCCGCACCACCCCCCGCCGCAGGGCTCGCGCGTGTACTGGCAGCCTCAGTTCCTGCCGCACGTCGACATTTCGCACGAGTGGGATGCCAAGACTGGTCATGGCACGGACGGCTGGGGCAACCACGAGTTGCAAAACTATACCGACCAGCCCCAGAATGCGTTTCAGTAAGCCTTCCCCGACCACCCCCGGCGCAACATGCAACACGCACATATTTCCAAAAAAAAAAAAAAAAAAAAATAAAGCCCCAAACAGACCCTGAGGAACCC